AGAGTGTGGTCAAAACTGGAGCGTCTGTCACCACAGTCAGCTGAATCATGTTGCTTCCAAGTGATGCTCTAAGGACTACATGACTTTTAACATCCTAGGCAGTAGGGACACACATTTAACCTTAGTAGACACCATTTATGGCCAGATTTTCTTTAAGGTTTTTGTCATGGGGCATGTGCACTTACCAGAGAGAGACAAAGAGACAAGGAGAGGGAAAGTGAAAAATCTCCTCCCAGGGCGGATAGCCATGCTACAATCCCATCCCTGTATTCTCCTCTCGGTATATTGGGCATGTGCACTCACAGGTCCAGCATGATTTTCAAGCTGCCAGATCTGGGATTTGAACCACAATCGACCACGTGGGAGTCCAGCATACCTTCACCACCTGCTGGCCCCTATGACCAGATTTTTAAAATCATGAATGAAAAAGTATGATTGATTCTTAGGAAGCTAACCTGATTGCTAGAGTTCTTCTTGAGAGACTCTGAGAAATAAAAAATATTATCAGCACAGAGACACAATAAGGAAACCATTCACAAATACTTTTAAAAAGGAAGTAAATTTAATACAATCTCATTTCAGATCTATGCCTGAAAGCGTACCTCATTAGCACAGATTTTTTTTTTCAGTCCACTGATGATATTCAAGAACTTCGAATAGTATATGGCCCATGGCAGATGCTCAAAAAATATTTGATGAATTCAGTTCAGCTGGAGAGCAATCTGCCATTTATTGTATGAGTCTTTAAAATAATAGTAAAGTTTCTATCCATATCAGTTATTTTAAGAATTTTAGTATAATAAGCTATGTTGTCAATGCTGACAGCAACTGAATAACCAAGAAACAATATAGGTACCTATTGATGAAGAAATAAATTAAATGCAATTCAATTAGGTACCAAATGAGGATGTGGCAGGCTGATAGTTCTTGTGAACATTATAGTTATGCTTAATCAAAGAAAATTGGCCCCTCATCATATGCTACCATGATCACTACATCACCTTGCAGATAATGTCAACATTCTTGTCCTGATAGCAAAATAGGAAACAGAAGAGAATTATGGCCTTCATGGGAGTCTAAAACATTGTCCCCTTAATACCTTCTAATCATCAGGTAGGTTTGGTGAGACATCTGCCACACACAGACAAAATTAATTATTCAGGGTTCACCTGCTGGAAGTTGGATTTCGAATATAGTAGCTTTATTTCCATCAGAGAGACTTACCCAGGACAGACACTGAGAGACATAACAAATTAAGCTTTGAAAAATTTGGTTTTAAAGTGATGACTCACACTTTGTGATGGCTATCAACAGAAGACAAGGAGCAGATCAGGAAAAAATCTAAACTCAAGTTTACAGAAGAGGGGCAGATCCAGGACAGTCTGGCAGGTCTCCTGAATAAGAGGCCAGTGTCCTGGGATGCCTCCTTCAGGCCACTGGCCTATGTGGGCAGGAATACCATGGGTCTACACAGTGGCTCAAGGAGAATCCAACCTGTTCCTCACTTCCTACAATGCAGCTCTTAGCTAGCTGGACTTTGGCTCTCCCCAAGCCCATGCCAGGCTTTGAACTTGGCATCCCAGGACTTTTTGAAAGTCCTATTTTGAAAAGGATCACCTGCCAACCCTGTGGACTCCAAAATTCACCAGGCAGGCCTTGGACCCTTTCTGCTTTCATAACTTCAACCTCATCCCTTCTTCACACTGCTGGAATGGGAAAGGTTAAGGCAGAGTAAATTTGGAGATTTGACATATACCCCTTCAATTATAAGAAGTCAGATTATGGTCAATTCCACCAAAACTCTTGAAGCCCACAGTAGGCCTGTATGAGATTCCTGTGGCGGCTGTATCCAACGATCACAAATCTAGTGGCTTAAAACAACAGGACAGCATCACCTTGCAGTTCTGCAGTTGGAAGTCCTTAAGTCCAGGCGTCACAGGGCTGCACTGCGAGGTGCTAGGAGAGCCAGCCTCGCCTTTCCAGCTTCCAGGAGCTGCCTACATCCCTTGCTCGTGGCCTCCTTTCTTCACAGCAGCATCTTCAAATCACTTTGTCTCTCCCTGACAGCTGTCACCAACACATCTGCCCTCTGACCTTTCTGCCTCCCTCTTTCCAGGAAAGGTCCTATAATTGCTTTAGGCCCACCCAGATAACCCCAGAATCTCCCCATCTCAGGATCCTCAACCCAATCGCTTCTGAGTTTTTTTTGCCACATATGTTGACATGTTCACAGGTTCTGAAGAGTCACCCTTTGTGTGGACCTATCTGTCAGGGCCACCATTCCACCTGCTATTATAAATGCACATTACATATTTTTTAAGTTTACTTATTCTGAGACAAAGGCCCATTTGAGAGAAACAGAGACAGCACCTTCAGCAGGGTCTTTACACTGTGACCCTCCATCTCAGCTGGCTGGGATCATGGGCACATGCATTTGTGTGTCAGGGAAGTCCAGGACATGACCTGAGGACCTTTCCCATGTGGGTCCAGTCGTATTACCACTGAGCTGCCACTTGGCCCGTGTGTTGTTTAGATTTCCAGGAAAGGCTTGTCACTCGTGGACCTTGACCAAGTATGAGATGCAAAGCTTTTCTGGGGGCAGATCAACTCCACGGTCATCTGGTGGGCCAAAGTAGACAGGTGGGCAAGAGACACTGAAGGGTGCAGTGCTTGGCTCATTCTGCTCCTGTGTCCACACAGTGGGACTGGGAGGAGGGAATGGCCATCAGGTTGCAGGACAGCATGACCTGGTCATCCAGAGCTGAGACTGTGGGGAGGCCAAACACCACACACACCCCGCTGTGCCACTCACAGGGCTGTGACTCTGACCTCGTCACATCTCTCTGAAACATGACAGTGATGATGGCTACCCTTCTACAGAGCTGCTGAGACAAGTGAGATCTGTAAAAGACATTGGGGGGCCACCCGGCATTGTGGTCAAAGCAGCTAGATCCCATGTGGCTGACTGTGCTGTTTCAGTCCTGGGCCCACAGCTTCTAAGCATTCTGGGTATGTGTGTGTGTGCATCCCCACAATCCTGACAGGAGAATGGAAGAGAAGGGATTGTGGTGCGCCTCCCGCCTGGGGCGTGCTCTCTCACTTTCCTTCTCTCTGTCACTCCTTTCTCTCTGGCAAATGCATGTGCCCTATAGCAAGTAAAGAAAAGAAAAGAGAAAAAAAAAAGACATTTGGGTAAGCATTTGAACAAATGTGCCCTGGAGGCTGGCCATAGTGGCCCAGCAGCACTGCACCATTCTGCAATGCTGAAGCTGTCTGGGAAGCCCCCAAGCTCGTAGCCTGAGGCCTCCTTGCACACTCTGAGTGTGCGCATGTGTGCCCATGATCCTGAGGCTGAGGGGGCCCCACCCGCTCTTTCTCTGCCTCTGTCTCTCCCACATGAAAGAAAGAAAAAAAGAGACTAAAAATTGGGACTATTTTTTCTCCTTAATGTCATTATAAATAGGTAACAGGTCACCTTTTTCTGATTTTATTTATTATTACTTCTTAACTTTGCTATAGGGCACATGTGCTCACCACGGAGAGAGAGAAAGAGAAAGTCAGAAAGCAAGTGCCAGATCTGGACTCAAACTGCAGCTGGACATCTGAGTCCGGGGCCTTAACCGCCACAGCACCTGCTAGTCCCAGGTCACCTTTCTTAAGGGTCACCCGAGCCACTGTGGCTGAGCCCAAAGTAGCCCAATTTTGCTTTGGTTTTTACTGACTCCAGTTCCTGAAGGCTGTGTCAGGGTGGGTCTGGAGAGCCCTGGAGCAGCAACAAACACTGTGGAATAAGGTCCCAAGGTGCCAGGGTAGAGGTAGACTTCAGAGGTAACACTCCTCCCTGATGCATTGCTACAAGGCACCAAGAAGAAGCAGGGTGGAAAGACTCTGACACATGTCAGTACGCGCCAGGCAGACCCTGCATCGAACCTGAGCTCGGGTGGAAAGGCGGCATGGAGGAACTGGGGCCCCGCTCTGGATAAGTCGTTCCCTGCCGATTCAGGAAGGGCTGCTGCCGTTGACTCAGCCCAGAAGGACACGATGGACAAGGCACAGGAGGCCACCATTTCAGACACTGTGGCCAGAGCAGAGAGTAGCCCTGGTTTGGGGTCCAGTTGGCATGGCAGTCACACAATGGGATCTGGCCAGTGCCTGTCCCAGCAGACATTTGTGTCTTTTTCTGTTTTTGTTTTTGCTATAGAATTCATGTGCTCACTGAAAAGAGAAACGGGGAGAGGGAAAAAAAGAGGGAAAGTTAGAAAGGAGCCCCCAGGGGAGACGACCATATGACAATCCTTTCTCCATTCTCTTCTCCCTATTTTGGGGATACATGCACATGTTGTGTCCAGAATTCAAACTGTATGCAGTGGGCCATGTGGGATCCAGCCACTTAACTACCACCCCACCAGCTGACCCTAGCAGACTTTCTTCTGGAAGTTCAGGCCTACCCCCAAGAGGCAGCTTTCTAGGCACTCAAAGGTTGCTGCAAGGTTATCTTTCCTGAAGGCACAGAGAAGCCACCAGTAGGTGCCAGGACAATGCACTGGCCACAGAAGGGCCGTCTGAGGGTTCTGTTCTGCCTGGTACCCAGGAACTGGTACTGCTGCAGGCTCAGAAGGCCCCAGTGCTCTGTAGAGCAGAGCCTGGCTCCACCTCTGTCTGGAGCATAAGGTCACTGCTCCATCCAGACACTGCATCCTTAAACTGAGACCACTCCTTCTTCAAGTAGGATTATTCTTCTTCAAGTAGGATTATTTTTTGGTATCAAATCAAAGGATGCAAGTAGAAAGATGCTAGCATAAGGTCACTGCTCCATCCAGACACTGCATCCTTAAACTGAGACCACTCCTTCTTCAAGTAGGATTCCTTTTTGGTATTACATCAAATGATGCAAGTAAAAAGATGCTACTTATGCTGTTAAATGCTACATAAATGCATTATAATATTCAAAACAGAAGATTCTGTACATGGTCTTCATCTAATGCCCATTAAGTCTCATCATGGGTGAAAAGCAGCCCGAACTATTGATGAAGGAGCTCCCAGTACAGAACAGCCAAGATTTGTATCTGCCTCCCAACCTTTTGCTTACTGATGGTTTGTCTGTAACTACCTCACTGAGCTCTTGCAACAGCCCTGGAACATGCATGAAGCTGGGTGCCCCAGTGATAAGAAAAAACTGTTGTGTATTCTCTACTAAATTTTGGAGCAGTCCTAGACTCTCTGAGCACCACCTTCTTGAACACCCTCAGGTTTTGCCTTCATTGGCCCCTCTGCCCGACTCTGCCCCTCTGTGCTCCTCAATCCATCCACCAGGCTTGCCCTCCTGGAGTTCTGTTATCTGAGCCCAGAAGAAAGAAAATGGAAAACCATCTGAGGGACCATTTTACCATTTTCATGGGATGGTACTAGTAGCATTCCTAGCTGCAGAGAAGTCAATCCATTGCAGACGAAGGGTCCTCAGGAGTGTGGCTCTCAAGTGGGGTCCCAACACCAACAGCACAGACATCAGCTGGGAACTTTCTAGAAATGTCAGAAATGCAAGTTCTCAGGCACACCCAGATCTGGAACCAAGAGCTAGAGTGGGGCCCATAGCCTGTGTTCTATCAGGCTTACAGGTGACTGGGATGTGCACTCCTATAAAACACCATTGCCTTGGGACACTGGGACCTGGCTCTCTCAGGGACCCCCACTGAGAAGGTCTGGCTGGGTTCCTTTCCTCTGGTTCGTGCTCTGTGTCCAGGCCACTCTCTGAATCCAGAGACTTCTTTTCTGACTCTGTGACTTCAAGTACCTCTGACGTAGTGATCTCATAACATAAGACATTTACTTGACTCTTCTTACATTCCCCCACTCAGGCCTCAGACTCAATGTGCCCTAAACCCCACTGGCTCCATGTGTGGGTGTTTGACTCCATGGCCTGTCTCAACGTTTCCTACCAACCTCTGTCTCCCTTTCTGGTCTTGGCTTACTCCTCTTAGTTTTCTAGTCTCAGCCAAGCTCTTGCAAGAAGCATGACTTCACATCTGGCCTACGTGCCCACATCACCCTCCGTCACATTCCCCACAGATCACATCCCATCACAATATCTTCAGTTGCTCCCCTGCACTAGAGTGCAAAATCCTCAAAACCAGGGATGATTATCTTTTATCTCCCAAATGGAATTGTTTATACATGCTACTTTGAAATACTTTGGTTCCCCGCCCCCCCATACTTCAAATGTAGTGAGTCAATTGATTCCATCCTCTGAAGTGTGACGACATTAGTCACTCTCCTACTGTCTCATACCCATCTCTCAATGACAGTGTTGTTGGTACACTGTCTGCATTCAAACCATTCCCGTGCTATCGTGATTACAATTTCAATTAAATGTCAGGTCCCCATGTACATGGATCCAATGCTCACTGAGCTAGCTGGCTTTTATTTTTTATTTTATTCATTTATTATTATTCATCAATTTGACCAGGAACGATAAAGCAAGCAAGCTGCCAGGTCTGAGACTCAAACCGCAGTCAGCCATGTGGGAATGTCCAGTGCCTTAACCACCACACCACCTGCCAGTCCCACTAGCTGGCTTTTACAGAGGCTTACAGGAGCTCCTCACTGGGCTGGCTGATTTCATTGTTGTTCATGGGGTCTCACAGCTATGGCTTGCCTTGAATTCCTGCATGCTTGAGAAGTTCAGTCTCCTTCTTATGTAAAGTTCCTTTTGTGATGTAAAATTCTTGGTTCACACTTTATGATGACAAAACATTTTCTACATCTGAGTGAAAAACAGTAAATTGAGCCAACAGTTTGTCACACCTGTTAAAAAAGCTGATACAGGGATCAGCAGATGGTGCAACAGTTAAGTCGCTGGACTCTCACATGGCTGACTGCGATTTGAGTCCCAAACCCAGTAGCTTGAAAGTCACGTTGGGCACATGTGCATGCATGCTCAAGATCTCAGGAGGAGAATGGAGGAGAAAGGATTATGGCATGGCCTTCCCCCAGCATGGTGATTTCTCACTTTCCCTCTCATGGTGTCTATGTCTCTTTCTCTCTCTGGCGAGTGCACATGCCCTAAGGCAAAAAAAAAAAGAAAAAGAAAACTGATTCAGGGGCCAACAGATGGCATAGCAGTTACATCTCTGGACTCCCACATGGCTGACAGTAGTTATCTCTGTCTCTCTCTCTCTGGTAAGCCTTCTTAAAAAAAAAAGAAAGAAGAGAAAGAGAAAGAAAGAAGAAAGAAAGAAAGAAAGAAAGAAA